AGGGTTAGATTTTTTTGTTAAAATAAGTAGCTCTACAGAGTGGTGTCAATCTTCTCATATAAGTCAGCAAAGTCCGAGTAAGCGTATTTCACAACATGTTGACCATTTCCTGTGATACAGTGGTCAGAGTTGTATCCATTGAAAAGCAGTCTCTAAGATCTGCAGGTTTTTTTAGTTGACATCGGTGGAAGATCAGTGTAAACTCTGCATTGAAGAGCTGCTTTTTTAGGTTAATTTGGATTTCCATGATGTACAGTGTACACTTCTCAAATCATAGTTGTTGCAAAACAATTTTTTTTACATTTTATGATATAAACACAGACAACAAACAACAAAACAACATGGCCACAAAAAACAAATCTCTGACTACTTGTTATGTGATATACACAGTACAATACACTCAGAGAAAATCATCTCCCTACCTTAACAAACTGAGAGTATAACTGGGAAGACATGGGATCTAAGTATATGTACATACACATATACACATTTACACACAGACATAAGGAAACGCTCAGACCCATTACAATTGACAGCGATGCAGAAAATTCATATCTGTAAAGAAAGAAGAGTAATAAAGACAATAACAATGATATCAATTTGAGAGAAAATGCTAAAATAAAAATAAATAAATAAAATGTATAATTATTATTATTATTATTAATAATGATAATAATAATGATAATAATAATAATTAAAAAGTAAATTAATGTCCAACCTTACGACCCCAAAACATCAGTTAGCCAGTTTACCTCATTGCCATCTATCATCCCTTTATTACAATAGTTGTAAGTCTTTTACCAGCATATTTAAAGAAAGGGGTCCAGATCCTAAAAAAAATCATCCACCCTACATTACCCTACCCGAGAACTGCTTTCTTGCCTCTACCAAGAAGTAAACGTTCCATCTGTGAAGTCTGACAGTCACAGTCATACCGGCTTTGATTCTGAATGAAGCTGCGAATTTGCAGATATCTGAAGAAGCAAAACCAATTTTTAATGAATAGCCAATTTGCAAAGTACAGAGTCCTTTCTTCTCCCTACTATTTTGTAGGCTAATTCTTTTCTCCCCTCTGTCATATTTTGTCTGTTTGAAAGTGCAACTTTCAACAGTTTGGACCAATTTCTTAACATTTTGCGAATTCATTTTGTTTTTGCAGCCACCTTCCCCATACTTCCCCAGCCAAAACACAAATATACAATATCTCTTTGCACAATATCCGCTTGATGAGTCTCATCTTTGTGTCAGTTCCTCTGGTGTACAACAGTGTATTATCTGTGTCACAGTGCTAAAGCTTATACAGTAAGTCTGTAATAAGTATCCTAAAGGTGATTAATGGATGGAGAATACAATTGGTCCTAAGAAAATAGTTATAAAATAGTAACTGTAAGAAGGAAATGATTCATTACTTATAGAGGGAAGTTGCCAGTCTCAGAGTAACCTGATGAGATAGTTTTGAATTTGATTTCTCGGTAAAATTGCAAAACTTCTGCAAGTGGCATTTCTGAGAATGACTGAGATGCTACTTATTGTCATACAGTGTCCTGTTGAGTTATCCAGATCCAATAACATTACTGTCAGTGCCTGAATTATTATGCCTGAATAACTTCTATTGAAAAATACCAGGGACCTCAGAAGTGCCAATACTCAGTACTGGTGAGTATCAGACACTGATTACAGTAATATAAAACTCATTTGGGTTTTCAGACACTAAACTATGAGCCCATGTCGTCTGGTGTGGATGTGTAACTCCACAAAGAGTCACATGTCAGTTCAAGTCTCAATAATTAATAATAAAATAATTTAAGGTTATTTTGAGGTTATTTTGTGTCTGTGGATATTTAGTGTCCAAAATGACACTACATTTCCAGTTACAGCTTCTTTTCAGACTGAGGGATCTGCCGGGGTTAAGGGCCTTATGAATGTCACTAACACTGGTGATATTCCCAGGAAAACTGAAGAAAATAACTCCAAAGACAAAAAGCTGGGTCTATGTCCTACTTAGTGTCCTTGACATGGAAAGTGTAGGGAGACAGGGCAGACGTGAGATTAATGAAGGTGTCACACTGTGGGGAAGGGCACGTGGAAGGAGGTTCGTAGGCTAATTGGTTATCTGATGCAATCTCGGTGTAACCCCACTCGTGTATCTTCCACACAGTCAGAGCTCGGCACTATTTAGGCTACACATGAAGGAGCTTCGTGGAGTGAAAGGAAGACGCTAAGTCCAAGAGTATGAAGAGCAAAAAAGACCGTAGAACGTCTATTTTCTATTAAATAAATCACGTTGTCAATAAGCTATTTCTCATATAAATTCAAAATGGCTGTTCTTGGTTAGCCGTCGGATTTTGGCGGCGCGAGCTATCTTGAAGCTGCCTTATTTCGCTTTTGTTTTAAAATCACCTGCATGTACCCTAATAAATACCCTGTCTAACGGGGGAAACAAAGCTCCGACAGGCACCATTTTGGCTCTTTGGGCGCTGTTTGAGCGTTAAGCTAACTTCAATATAAGGAGCTTTCTAGTGGCGCCCTTTCAAAATTAAAGCCTCAGTGAAGAACATATATTGACACGCTATCTACAGTCACTGTGACTTTTATTTTCTTGCACTCGAGTTCTGCACTTCCGGTTGTAGGCCAGCTAACCCGAGATAACCTGACGCACCTCCGTCTGACTCCCCCACCTCGGCGTGTAGCAACAGCGCCCTCTGGTGGCCGGCCCCGGTATAGCCAACATGTCCGCTCAGACTGGTCCTGATGCTGCGAGGATGCAGAGAGGAGCGATATGAGGGGATATGAAGTATGTAAACCGTGCCAGGCCCGGTTTATCCTGGCGCAGTCTCTGTGGCGCAATGGAATAGCGCGCTGGACTTCTAATCCAGAGGCTCCGGGTTCGAGTCCCGGCAGAGATGAGTCACTCTGTGTGCCACACGGCAGACCTGCGGTCATTTTTATCAGATGGAAACGATGATGATGTTTTACCGGCAGATTATTACGCTTGTCTATCTTCATTGTCCGCGCAGTAATGTGGTGTATGGTGAATATACAGAAACGCTGCCCCATCTGCGCTGATGCATGCTTTGAATAATTTGATTTATTTTTGTTAATTTAAACTAATGATGAAAAAATCTCCAATATAGATTCAATCCGTACTGAATTAGTTTTACTCATATGAGCCTACTTATTTTATACTGACACTGTCTTACTGCGGGCGCATGTAAAACACATTCTTTTGACTTTATCTGCCCTTAAAATCCTGATGTGTCTTACACTGAATCATTTTTTATTATTATTAATTCATCTTTTTGAGCTAGATGTCTCCTGAAATTTTGACATCTTAACAGGAGTAGCATGGTAAATAAACAGTGAATCATAACATAAATATGACAGTATGGTAGCCTAAATGTATTTTTCAGTAGCCTATGGTCATACTTACAATTACAATTATTGTACAGCAATCGAACTTCACCAGAACAAACCAAACAAATGAAAAATATATTCTTATAAAATAGACCTCTACATTATAAAACATTTAGGGCCATATATCATATTTCCCCCTGAACAGCTCATGTAGAAATGAACCTATTATTCCTAACACATTCACATATGAATGTATCTAACATATTACTTGCATTCTGTGTATTCTCAGCCGCTCCCAGAGCTTTTATCAGGCAGTGAAGGCGGGTGTAAACCATTTATTTTCTAAATGAAAAGGTGAGTGTCTCAGGTTAGAAAGATCTCATCAGGATTACATCTGAATCCCGCCAATAACAGTGCCAGTGAAATGTGTGTGCGTGCGCAGATATATTTAGGGATCCCTGCTCCAGTTGTGCTCGGAGCACATGCAGGGTCGTCCCGGGTCGAGGACGCAAGGGGGCGCTCCAGCATCAGTGTAAAGTCACATTCCCCCAGCAGGTCTGAATCGGGAGGAAGCGGCTCACTGTGCGGACCTACTGAGCTGTGACAGCACCAGTATCGGGGGGCATCACCAAAATAAATGTAAACCTACATTATGTGACAGCAGCCACGACGTGGTGTGTTTATCCATCATCTGTTCGCCCTGTTGCATCATAGTGACATCACTGCTGTAGCCCAATACATAGTGAATATTGTAGGAAGTAATAGTGCCATATTCCTGCAGTGTACACAGGATCTATTAGCTGATAGTTCTAAGAATATAATGCTCTTATTTTACCTTAAAGCTCAGTGTGACATACTATCACTACGCCATCAGTCCAATTACAACTGACCTCACGCAGGCTGTCTTATGACATTTCTATATTATTTCTATGACATTCGAGTATATGTATGTGTTTAGTGTGACGTCTGCATCATTCTATCATAAACATAGGTGCAGAGGTGAGTTAAGGTATGAAAAATGACTTCATTACCTAATGGCACACTGTGAACAGCAGAAACCAAGCAGACCAGACTACAGCAAATGTGTCAAAATGATTATGCCTCTCTAAGCTGGTTTATTTTATTTTTTTATTTCATAATGTATTTTTTTTTTTCTCCCCCGGTGTTGGCCTGAGCAAGATCCAGAGGGAGAGAAAAAAGGGGGCAGTGCTGTGGTGCTGCTGACGTGAGAGAGAGAGAGAGAGAGAGAGAGAGAGAGAGAGAGAGAGAGAGAGGAATGCCCCGCTAATGAGAATATGACGTCAAGTCAGACAGATTACAGCGAGGACAACACCGGAAGTAGAGCGTAGTCACGGGTGAACTTTCATTTTATTTTGTTTCATTGTATTTGTTGTTAGAGGATGATGACAACTGCCAAATGGGTTTCTTTCAAAAATCCGTTACACAGACGTCATTCTTATACTAACTAAAAAATAGGTTCAGAACAAAGGGAATTTTCTTCATTGTTGGAAAAAGGTAAATTACATATGAATGTATTATAAATATTGTAAATATTATATGTATAAACACTACATTTATTCACAATATGCTAATGTATATCCTTTACTCATTTTAATTCCTCAAAAGCAAGTCTTTTTCGAGGTGGATTTTATTTTGAAGAAACTGACCGGAAACTGAGTCGTTACACCTCGGTGTAGAGTAGAAAACGGACTGTCGCTGGAGAGCAAAGAAGAGGAGAGAGGTGGAAAAAAAGCAGTGAAATGGTGTAAAAGCTGAACGAGTCCAGACCGAGTCAGGGGACAGACGAGGAGGGACGACGCAGAAGGATTGTTGTTCTTTCTATAATTATCATTAAAGTCAGTAAACTCCCGCTTTTTGATGCTGTCCTCACGGAGGTTTGAGCCAATAACGGACTTATTGGTCGGCTGAACCATGCAGAGGCTGCTGCTCCTGAGTTTGCTGTTGAGTTTTCAAACTGGTAAGACTGCATTTCCCTCTTTTTTAGCGCTTAAAACACGGTGGCTAATGTTTAAATGGAATATTGTGTAAAACCACAGAGGCTTTAAAAACAGCCTGACCGTTGCTGCTCCTCCAGAAGCGCGCGCGTGTGTGCGTGTGTCGGGGAGAGAGAAAGGCGTATAACATGATTTCATAGCATTCCCATATGAACCGCAGTAATGGATCACCTTAGGCGTGCGTGCGCGCGCGCACGTGTAGCTACGTGTGAGCGCGCGCGCGCGTGTGACTGCGTGTCCTGCACCGCAGCAATGGATCGCCACACTTTTTCTTTTTTCTTCTTTTTCGCCTTAAATCATCATTGTCGCGCGCCTCTGTACGCGTGCGCATACACGCGTGCGTGTGTCCAACTTGAACATGACTGGTGCGTGCGCGCCCGCCGGCCTAAATGACCTTTTGCTTATGACAAACCCCCGGTGCCGTTATTCAGACGGGCCGTGGTGAGGCGCTGAGGACGTGACGGGAATGACAGTGATTGACCAGCGCTGCTCTACATGCCAGCAGCACCTCCACACTGCTATCGTCAATGAGACCACAGCTACAAGCCCCTGTAGTGATCCTGTAGTGAAAGAAAGCTTCTACAGCCCTCTCCCCCCCTCTCACCCCTCACACACACACACACACACACACACACACACACACACACACACACACCCCCTCTGCTGCTCCTGTCCTGGTGTCCTACCTGTGTGCCTGACACAAAGCCCATTCCCCCTCTCTGTTGCCTTCCTCTGTGCATTTAAGCAGCACAATGAGGCATGTGCAGCAGCAGCGCCCATGCATCTGTTCCCCCTCTGTACCTGTGGGGTGCCAGGTAGGCTATTGGCTTATGATAATCACAGCTGTAGCCGAGTTGCTGGGAGACAGGAGGCTGGAGGAGGAGGAGGAGGAGGAGGGGAGGAGGATGGTTGTAATTTCTATAAGCTACCTGTTTGATCGAGGAATATCTGTGCGCCTCGCCACAGCAAAACCTCCTTTTTTTCCCCCTCCTATTGTCTACCTTGGCTGACCGGGAGCGTGCGCGGCTGGCTGCTGGCTGGCCGGTCGACCACTTCATCATAGGTAGGGGGCGTGTTCGTGAGGGGAAGGGAAGGTATGGAAAGGGATGATGTCACCGTGTCTGCCAGGCTTTGTATCGCTCAGCCATGCTCAGCATCCACCCATAGTGTGTTGCTGAGGGTTCAGACAAGCACATCTACGCACTGTAAGGAGCGGGTTCCTTTTCCTCGGCGAATCGGGCGCTCCATGAAGCCACGTATGACACAGTGTGGCAATCGTCGCAACAAACCAACAGACGGCTCCCCCTGCTCCCTCCACAGAGACCCCTTACTGCCACATGCTGTTGTCCTGTTTGTCCACATAAACCGTTCAGTCCACATGACTAGCTCAGTAACACATGCACCCGCAGATGTGCATAAACACACGTGTCCTATTGTCTGTTGTTGCACTGTTACAACTGTATAATCCATTATCACTCCATGCTGGGCTCTCAAACACAAAGATGTTTGCTCTCAAAGGCTTCTTCCAAAGACAAGATTAGCAGGCTATGCATGCGGCTGTGTTTTGCTCAGTAAGATTTAAAGTGATGTAATAAATGTAAGGTCTCGAATGTGGCACTGTGGTTTTTGCATTTGGGTTTTAGAATCATCAGAGGAGCAACAGAATCCAGAGAGAGCTGGAATGAATATCACCTCCGAAGAGATTAGACTTCACGTTAGGTTTGGGAGCATTTTTCTTTAACAGCAGCCAGACTCTTATCTCTTCATTAGACAAGTAAAACAGTATTTCATGGCCTGCAATTTGCACACATGTAATTGCCTACTAGTGCTAATGATTGGATGGTTATTAGTGGAGCAGCTAATTAAAGCTTTGGTGAATCAGAATGTTTTTAAGTTGTTTAGATTCAGTGATGTATTTGCAACCGGGACGAACTACAGTTTGTCTCAACTAGCAACACCACTGGAAGGATTGATTTAGTCTCCTGGTCTTGTATCTACATACCAACGTGGTAATAAGTCCCAAGCAAGCGCCACCATTAACGCAGCTGTTAAATGTTACTGCATAATCAATCATTGCAAACACACTCCTTTTTCCTAATGAGTAGGAGGCCTTGAGGTTGGACTTGCAGCACTGCACCTATAGCCCAGACGGTAGGCTCAAGTGCTGACTCGGACAAAGGCTCCGGTGCAGGTGTGCCATTTGTCAGCCTCTGTCCTTTTGTGCGGGCTGAGGCCACGGGCTGCTGCTGCTGCTGCTGCTGCCCATACTGTACGCTCCGGCTCTGAATCATATCACTGTGAATCATAGACCTCAGACGGATTCCTGTGTTGTACTCAGTGAAGAAAATATTCAGATGTTGGAAGAGTCAGACACATTCGGGGGGCTTTTACACCCAGGAAAAGAAGGGTTCCTCAAGGGTTGTTTGATCAGGAAAGTAGTGCTTCTGCTACTATATGTGCAATGTTAATGACTCAAAGTGGGCTGTAATAGTTCAAATAACAGTGAAGAATTAGGGGAGCCTCATAAAGAATCTAGCGCAGTACTAAAACACTCTGTTAAAACTGCTGATTTACAGCATTTCATGCATTCACGCCAGAAATAATCTGTGACATTTGCATCTAAATAAATTCCGCTCTACCACTGATTCATGTACAGTGACTGCAGATACTGCTAGTGCATGAAATCTTTCCCAGATATCTTCCATCATACAGCAACTTATGTGTTTTATGTCCTCAGAAGAAATAAAAGAAGAGCTGAGTGGTTAGCCTGAGCTAATCTCATACAGGCAGACCTCCGTCTCATTAAGCTCATGCAGATCTGGAGAAATTCGTTGCTTACAAAAGGATGGGGACACAGTGGGCTGTAATAACCACTAAAACTGTATCACTGTATTGAGTGAACTTGGTTCTGCTCAGATAATGGCTATGAGAGATTAAACATGAGTAGCTTCTGTGGCTGATGAAAAAAAAAGTACCCCCCTACAGAAACCTGTCAAGATCCTCCAATGAGGATCTCGTGGATTATCACTTGTAGAACTATTTATAGCTCGGTGAACCTTTCTGAAAGCATGCTGCCATGATTTCAAGGCTAACAAACCATTTTGTGGTGCTATAGTGAACCCTTTCCGGCTCAGGGTGTAGATCTGGAGTGACACATGTAGCGAGGCAGAAGCCTGTTTTTAATTTTGATCCCAGTGAGCGAGATGCGGCTCTGGAGCATCCTACCGTTAATATGTGAATTCGGGTCATGGTTTTTACGGGATCTGAATGAAGCCTGTTTACCGAAAAGCATCTCTAATTGACATCAGCCACTGAAAGCAATCACTGAACCAGTTGTAAAGCTCAATCTGGGAATGGAGCCCGTAATGTTATAATGTACATCTACCCCTGCTGTTCCCCATTGGGTTCCATTCAATCAACAAATTCTTGGCATTTCTGTCCCGACGGGTGTTTGTCAATGTGTGACATGTTGATTGCTTCTCTCAGTTGATATGTTTGTTTAAGGGCATTCCTCTGGACACGAGTGTCCTGTAATGCTTTTTGAAGTGGTGCTCGGAGAAAAAGAGGCAGCTTGCACGCTTGCTTTCGGATGATCCAGTAAAACCCTGATGGGGTACGGAAGAATTTGGTCAGATAATTCATACTCAGACGCGTGGTCAGAGATAAATTCAATCCAAAAGGTGAACACACAATTCCTTTGAGCATCCTCAACAGCTACATGAACTCAGTTTCTCAAGTGAAGCTCCAGGATTTAAAGGCCCCATAATCTGATTGTGTTTGACAGGCCGGGGGCATCCAAGTTATAAAAAGAAGAAGGGGAAAAAAAAAAACATCCCCTTAAAAATGTTTCTTTATGCAGAGTCCCCCGAGCAAGAGAGGAACGCTTTATCACATCTGACTGAATCTATTGGCCTTGTTTTCCCAAACTGCACGGCCACATTCTGCAGCGAGGAGGACCAATTTGGGGTGATGGAGGGGGGGGGTGTTACAGAAAAAGTTGTTTGGGAGAGAAGGAGGGGGGACAAAGAGGGGGTAGTCTCGCAGGGCAGGTGGGTGAAGCCTGATCGAGAGTGATTAGACTTTTTTTTTTTTTTTGTTTGTTTTAGAGGTGGAGGGGGGTGGGGGGCAGCATTGTAGTTCCGGAGTGGAGGGTGTGCGCTGGATGAATAGAAAAGGCGAGCCGGGAGAGAGGAGAGAGGGACGAGGACGGAGGAGGAGGAGTGGTCGGGAGGCCAGTGGCGGAGAGAAAGGGACTATTACTCAGGCTCGACTGCTCCCTCAGTGGGGACAGTGGAGCTGCTCATTCAGACAGAATATGGTCGAGGCCGGTTCAAAGGCTACATTTGCGCTTGAAATCGGGAGTGATTGAACCCACATCTGAGGTGCCAGCCGAGCTCTTCCCCTGCCCCGTCCCCGCTGAGGTTAATTGGCATTAATCGGTGTTGCTGTTAACTTTCTTCTTTGCTTCTTTGGCTTTTCTCTCCCAGCATCAGCCCATTTTTCTGCTTACCAAAGTTCATTCTTTCTCCCTCTCTGTCCCCTCCTGGACTTCTTTTTTTTTTTTTATTAAACTGACTCATCTGACTTTTTTCTTCTACCTCCCCCCCCGACATCCCCCCCACCCACCATTACTTCTCTTTCTCTTTCCATCTACCCTTTTCTCTCTCTCTCTCTCTCTCTCTCTCTCTCTCGCTCTCTAATAAGTTCCAGATGTGGTTCTTGCATTCCTCTGGTCGGTGGAGGGAGAAAGAGAAGAGGGGAGGGGAAGGGAGGGGAGGGGGGTGGTATGAGTATGTGTATGTGTATGTGTGTGCGTGTGCGTTGGGGGGGGGACAGGAGAAGAAGCACATGAATTAAAACAGGGAGCACATGATGAGGAAGAGGAGCCCGTGTACTGTAACACACACACACACACACACACACACACACACACACAGTAACGTGCACTGGAAAACAAGCGCGC